ATCTATTTTATCAAGAAATCATTTGTAGATTTTTTTCCTAGTCTCAGGATGAAATGAAAATTTTGGTATTGCTATAACTGTAAATCAAATGATAGCAAGACTCATCAAGACTTTTGCACTGTTTCTATTTTTGTCATTTTTATTGCCATCATTTGGATGGTATCAATTCTTCCTTAAATTTCTATTCACAACTCTTTGAAAGCCACTTTGGAATTATTCCAATTCCGGCATTAATAACGAGTAAAATTATCATCTTCATGATCAATCTTTTCATTATTTTTAGCAAATACTTTCCTGCTTTTCAATCACTTTGTTTATTCCAGCACATATAAAATTGCAACATCCGCTATTTGACAATTTTTCATTGTTATCGATGTCTAAAACCTGTCACATGATATGGATCAGGAGATCCATTTAAACTATTAAAATGTTATAACAAATCTCTTTTCTGTTCTTGTCCTTCGCGAGTTTTCGCCTTTAGATTCCTTCAAATCAAGCAGAAAACCGAAAAGATTACAAACCAACAAAGAGGCGAGAAAATTAAATTTATGTCGTTGTCAACAAATGAAAAATATACGTTCAATCAGATGAAAGGAAATATGATTTAATGAGAGAAATGTGAAAAACAAAACAAACCAAAAAATAAACGGAAGAGCAAGGGCAAAGACTTCGCTTCTAAATTCTATTTTCTCTGTCTGGAAATGATAATTAATCAATTCTTTGATTAATCAACTGAATTGTCTCCGTCCCGTATTCGTCTGTTTATCATTAGATGAGTTTAACAATGAGATATTATAGATTTAAAATTAATAAAAAAATTCGCATATTTAGTAGGCATAAGGTAGTTCGATATAAGGCCACGGTGAAAATAGTCACACGGTAGCAAATTGTATCTACATTTCTGATATGAGGTATTGTAATTATTTACATTCTTCTGATCAATGTCCACATCTTTTATGTTTCGGACGTTGTATGCACCGGCCTTCATCAGGTGATTGGAATTTCGAAGTGAATATTTTTATTTCGTCCAACGGGGATAGATTGTTCTAGTTCCATGTGGCATGACTCTGGCAGATGTCTCAGTTATCTCCCTTTTGTTCAACACTGCGGTAGACAGGTAGTAACTCACTGGTCTTTGGATCAAGTCACTAGATCCAACCAACGTTTTTATCCACCTGACCACATATAGGAATTTTTGTGACTTATAAACTTTATACTTGTATGCATTGTGCTACAGCATGAATATTATTCATATATATATATATATATATATATATATATATATATATATATATATATATATATATAAGTGAACATTAAAGTCAACTCTCAGAGACGACAGACTGTTTCAGACGAAATCATCAGGCCTGATGATTTCGTCTAGCATGGAAACAGTCTTTTGACTCTGAGTATTGGTTCCAATGTTCACATTTATATTTACATATGCACTATCTCTGATACTGAGCACTCCATTCCATAAATATAGCACACCTTAATATATATTTATATATATATTAAGGTGTGATATTGTGTTAACTTTAATGCTCGTTTTTTCTTATAATTGTTATAATGAGTGGTAATAAAAATAAATTTTGTCTATTTCTGGTGATATATATATATATATATATATATATATATATATATATATATATATATATATATATTGTGTATATTTAGGCAGCAATTTTTCATTAATGCATGTTTCATTAAATAATATAGACAAGTTTTGTCTATTTATTTTAAGTAAGTTCCTTTCATATTGTCTGATAAGTTTAATCACATTATCGTTGAAAGATGAAAGGAAAACACCATATTGTTTAAATCCAATCTAAGCTTTCGGCTTACACAAGCCATTATCAAAGATGACAATTTCAATAAATCAAACTCCAACGGACGAAACAACAATGATAGTCCGCCCTTGCTGCATGAAAATTTCAAGTAAAGACAAACTCGTATATACGAGACGCGGAAGCGAAAATCGCGTCGCATCTCGTGACGTCACACAAGTTTACATTATTATAGTTTCAAACAAGATGGTAGTAATTCTACTATACACAACTGTTAAACTAATAATATCTTTTCGATTTCACTAGGGTCTCTGATAGAAACTTTTTCCCATTACTCCTATTCTATCAAATTAGAGTAATGCAGTTATCGGGATGGTTTCTGTCACTCTCGCAAAGCTACTTTTTCAAGTAATTTAGCAAAGGTTTTAAGGATAGTCTTATGTACGTTAATAATAACTAGCGGGACCCGTGGGATTTCCACGGAATGACTAATAGAATGTTGAGTAAACAATAAACTTTTTTTTATATATATGAATGTATAAAAATGACGTATTGAAGAAGGAGTAATTAAAAGCTCCACATATATAATAAAATGATATACGTAAGCAGCAAATAGTAAAATTGTGTATATTTATACAGTTATATTTACAAATACATAAATACTTATAATCTGACTGTAGAGTCTCATTCTCATGCGAGCAGCTTCCAGTTTTTTTTGCCGGTTCATAATGAATGCAGTTTATATGCACAAAAGTAGGAACCCTCACTTCTTCGGGATAGCTAACGTTTAAAATGAATTTTTTAAAATAGAAAATCTTTCTTGTAGCTTTCATTTTTTCTTTAATTGAAGGCTAAAGAATTAAATGTACTATTTCCAGTAAACATAATATCCTGGTTTATTTCAAATGAAACTTATAGTAATGTGAATCGATGCTTTTTAGTCGTTCGTAAAATCGGCCATTTTTTTTTACATATAAACAAATGTTAATTCTCAGTTTTAAAAATCTGGAAAAATATTACTAAAGCTGTGAACACACAGTGTTGAAAGCCAATGGCAATAACTAAAATGCGAATGGAATAAAGTCAAAAATAATTAAATTAAATATTAAAAATAAAAATAGATTCAAGTTTTCAAAACAGCTCAAAATGAATAAAAAAAAGAAAAACTAAATTAAGAACTAAAAAACAAATTTTATAAAGGAGGAATTAAATATAAAACCAATTTGAAAGGAAATTACAAGAAGACATGCAAATTAAAAAAATAAGAATTTCAAATAGAAATTTAATTAGGAAGATATGTTAAAGTACAAATTATTTTTTCTATTAAAATAAAATAAATACATAAAATAAAATGCTTAGTGAAACAGGAATTCAAAAAAGAAAAATAAGCAATTTAAAATTTTGAAGGGATGATTTTCAAAGCCCGTTGAGACACGATGAAACACAGAAATAAAATGAATTCCAGCCCCAAAAAGTCGAAAATATTTTCCCAGTAACGAAAGACAAGGTTTCAAAAACAGCTATGATAAGTAAAAGTAAAAATTATTTTTCTTGAATAAGGTTCTTAAAACACGTGACCTTTTAATGATACTGCTATTTAGAGGTCAACCGTAAAAAAAATTTCTGAGACCAATTCAATTTTTCGAAATTTCATGGACTGTTATGTTTCTTTAAAAATCGCTGGTATTTGTTGACAGCAAGAGTGAAATGGAGTGGGTGAAGATGCTTCTTGAAACATCGTCTCCAGTGAGGCTCCGAATACAGATCAATAACTGAAGAGTGTAACAGACGGACTAAGTAACTAAGTAACAGGCACAATTATAATAAGATGGGTCCAATAGTCTCTTTCATGATTTTCATTTTCTTCCAATTATTTAACAAACCTCAAATAATATGCTAAGTTTTACATTCTTTCAATTTCACTCTGTAGTTTTATTGACCAGTAATATTCTTTATCTAACTGAATGATTTTCAGACGGGAAATATTTGAGTCCCATGGGAGCGCTTTCAAATCAAAGGAAAATATTTTTAGTGGGAGCAAGAATAAGAAACATATTCCACTCATATGAATAAGCCATGTGTATTATATATATATATATATATATATATATATATATATATATATATATATATATATATATATATATAAAAGATTATTACAAAGAAGGTGAAACTATGGGAAGCAGAAATCAAAAGTGAATGGAACATAAGATTGAACTCTGATCTATCTGATTTTCCTGTTTGTATCATTTATAAATCCGGCATTCTCTATCGGAATGGATTTTTTTCAGTGTATCGAAGAATTTTACCTTTATTCGTTTTCTTTTTTTAGGAAGGATTTCGTTTGGGTGATATAGAATTGTTCTATTTGCCCAAATTCCAATCATTTCTTAAATTCCCACTGGGTCACTATTCCTCTACAGACTTGTTTACTTATATATATTTTTTTAGCTATTTTAATGTATATATGTAGTGAATAAATAAATATTACTATTAATAATACTTATAGATGAAAAGAAGAAACATTATATAATTTCATAATCTTTACACCATAGAAATAGAATCGACTGTCTACGTTTGTAAAGAACAGAGTGAGAAAAACTAACTGACGTTAAGTAACTGTGGAACTATAAATGCAATTATAATGGAAAACGTGTTCCAAAGAAAAAAGTTAAAATAGATTCGACAGCAGGGCAAATAAATTATGAAAATTCTAGAATGAAAAGCCATATCTAGTAAGACACACAAGTGTATGGCAATTAATAGACAGAATAAAGTATTTGGAGATGGCATAAGTATGGTTGCGACAAGGATATCTCATGAAGGAAACCGATTCCTGTTATTCATAATGACGGTCGTCTTCGAGTATAGAATCCAGAGGTTAGCAGTGAATATTTCGAAGACAGTAGGAAAGCGTTGTTCAGGTTAGCAGTGGATATTTTGGTAAAAGGTAGCAGAGCGTAGTTCGTCCTTCTGTTTCTCTTCGCCTGACAAGCTGGACTGGACATTCGGGTAGAGTGAACAAAAATGGCCGCCTTTATACCCGACGGATTGAATGTTTTACGTCTTCTGATTGGTTAACCTTCTATTGGTGGACTATAAAGTGAGTCAAGTCATTTGAGCTAATTCACTAGTTATATATATACACAAAAAACTGTAATAATTCCTTTTGATGGCAACAATATAAGCATGTGTGCAAAATGGGATCGGGTTATGGAACTTGATGTTGAGTTGTGCCAGTCGCTCAGGGAGGAATTGGAACAGTTCCAATCAGATCTGATGAATTACAAATACTTGCAGGTAAGAGTATTACAGAAATTAATTGGAGAATTATGAACTATTCAGAGGAATTTCCACTGCTTAGTTTCCTGTGATAGATGCCAATTATAACTAAAAATATGTAAATCGTTTTATTTGTAGTAAATAAGGCCGTGGTGATTTTTCTCAAATCTGAAGTACACTCCCAACACACGTATTTTTCCTCTTTCTAAGAGTATATTTCTTCTTTTAAAAAGTGCAATAATTAAATATATATTATATATTGTTTCAAGCACCGAAGAAAGGTTTTCATTTGAATAAGTTTTATATTCTATTTTTTATTCTTTCCATCGTCCGGCTACTTCGTGATTGAAGTTTCTGTTTAAATGTCTCTTCTCATTTCTCTCCGTGTTCTTTCTCCCGAATTTCTTCATTCCTATTTCAACACTGCTTCTACCTCGGGAATGTCTCCTTTCCAATTTAAACTCTACTTTCACTCTGGTATTTTTCCGTTCGTATTTTAAATCACCATTTTTCTCCGGAAGTTTTTCATTCATTTTTTCACGTCCGCTTCTTTCTCTGCAGTTTCTTCATTCTTTTCTCAGATTCTCTTCTTTCCTGAAACATTCTTCAGTTTTCCTTCTTTGCTCAGAGTTTCTTTACTCCGACTTCACCTCCTCTTTTTTCTCTGGAATTTCTCGGTTTCTATTTCCACTCCACTTCTTTCACCGGAATTTCCTCACTCTTATTTCATATCCACGTCTTTTTAACAATTTAGCCATTCCTATTTCAACCTTCTCTCTTTTGTTTTTGACTTTGGATAAATATATTCCTTCTTTTTATATTCTTCCAACGTTTCATTTTCACCCTCTTACTTTACTTCTTTTTTTTTCTTTCTTGACACTTTCTACATCACAGCATTTTTCGACTCTAATTGTTTTTTTTACCTCACGAGACTCTTTTTTTTATTTATCTACATTTTAACATTTCTTTCTTTTTCCCCTTCAACTTACCAGTTTTTTCTTTTTGCTTCTATTCCTAAGTAAATAACAATCTTGTTTGTTTGAGTGTCATATTAATTTTATTTTCGATTTTTTCCTTGTTTATCTAATTCTCCGATGCGGAAGCTGATGTCCAACTATTCGAGTGCTTTCCCAAATAATCTGTATCTGATTAGAAATCTGTGAGTCGATTCATCGTTTATCTAAAACATGAAAACGAAACATAACACACTGTGGCATGCGTAGAAAACGGATGTCGAAAGGACTGTCTGTTATTTTGACAAAAGTCATTATAATGTCAAGACAATGGAGTTACATTTTATTAATCTCTTTGCTAGCACAACAATTCAGTCAAACCATTATACAACCTTCTTCAGGCGTTGACGTCGTCACCATCTTTAGTCTATGTGGTCGAAGATGACAATCTGTTTTGGAATCAGAATCAGTCGGCTAGACCAGGGGTCAGTAACCTACGACACGCGTGTCACACGTGGCACCCCAAGCCATTTTTAATGTCAGTCAACCTCAAATGACATCACGAAGTTTGAACCAATAATTAGACAACGCAAAGAAGATATTTATCTGTTTCAATTTTAATATATACTAAAGTATATATACTATATATTACTGTATAAAATATATTGCAAAGCAAGTATATTTACCTTGACTTGTATAAAAATACGTATGCCGTTGGCACACTGAATGATTTTAAAACCCTAAGTCGGCACAGAGCAAATGGTTGCCGACCCCTGGCCTAGACTGCCAGAAAGAACTATAGAGTAAAATCAACAATGCCATTTTAATAATTCTTGGAAGAAGAGATGTTTTATGTTAATGCGAAGGGATTTAGCGTGAATCGAGAGTGATTTTGGACATGATTCGCCGAATATATTTTTTGTCACCTTCAAACTGTAAGAAAAGAGAAGTTATTTTTTTTAAATAATGAGATTTTCTTATATAACTGTATCGACCGTATTGGTTCAGTTCCATAAACGCGTGTCAATAAGTTCATTATTGGGTAATTTAATTCATACACGAAGATGCTCTTGAATTACTTCCACACTGAATAAAGAAAACCAAACGAAACACTTGTCTGATTTCTGTACGAATTTATGACAACTGACTGCTTTCTCGGTGTTTCTAGTACCTAGCAATATGCACCAATTAGAGCAAATTTAGTATGAGAAATAAAGAATTTGAACATAGCATAGAATGTACTAAGTTTAGTCTTGCCCAAGACCACAAAGAGCTATAAAATCAAAATATTAACCTAAGAACTTGAATTATGTCCTTAAATTGAACATGACTCAAGTTGTTAGGTTAATCTGAAGAGACTAAACATCTGAAGAAGCTATTTAAGTCTCTTCAGATGTAGGCTCTATGAATGCCATGCTTAGCACCCGACCGGTTCAGAAATGTCTGAACTATCAGCTATATAACGATTTTCAGAAATCAATGATTAAAAATGTCTTCAAGTGAATGAATCCTATAGGTTCCTAAGAAGGCGATCCTTTATCAGATCTTATAGACCGACGCTGCATAATCACAAACAAAGGACTTGAAGCAACAAGGTAGATATAAGGAAAATAGATATCATATTTAATTGGAAGGGAAAATAATGATATAATCATGATGTTGAATTTTCACACTAACTTAAAGAAAAGGTTAGAAAGGAAACTCCCATCAATACTAGAAAGAGCGATAACAGCTAGTGGAATTGAAAAGTCTATTTTCCTGAAAAAACAAAAAAACTGTTTTAAGAGAAAGATTTTATAAATTTCACTATACAGTAAAGGCAATTGTTCGGTCAATACATATCGAATGTTTCCTGTAGAGAAATTGTTAATCTTACCGTTTAACAGGAATAGAGATGTGGTTATACAGAAGGATGGTGAGAATGATATGGGAGAATCATGTAAACAACGAGCTAGAGTTTAGGAAAATAGAAAGAATGTTTATACTTAATATCAAAAAGAGAAATTACAACTTACACATAATGTGGAAAGACTACTTGGCGAATTTGACACTCACATAATATCATGAAGGTAAGAGAGACAAAGGAAAACAATAACCTAAGTTGTTTGTTTAAATTGATGACAGAATAGCGACTACGAACAATAGTCATGAGATAAAAAATCCTCTTTGGTCTATGAAACAAAGGAAGTTATTTAAGTGTCAGGATCACCTACGTAGTAAGCTACATGGTACATTAAATCTGAGGAATATAAACTCAGATTTTTTTTTTATTTATTTCAGAGCAAAAAATAATAGAGCTGTCAAATAGGAATCTTACCAAAAATTTCCAGTGTTTCAATTTTGTAGAAAAATCCTAATACACCTTAAAAACGTATTTATAAGATGGAAGGCAACTAATTAAAATGTAATAATTAAATCAGTCATGTCATTTTAGGTCACGTGGGAATTTCAGGTCATTTGTTCACTAATCACTTAATTAGGAAAATCGTCTTGTTTTGTATTGTTTGAAATACCTCAGTATTCATTTGTGTGTTTTTATTATTTATCAATTAGATTATTTGTTTGTACTCTTTCTTCACGACTTAATTTTATTTAGACATTTCAGCTCATCTTACGCCAGTCTGAGTTGAAGAAGAAGTTGTATTAAATCTAGCGCAAGCCTCGAAAATCCAATTATCTCCATAAGCATTTTTTTTCAGAAAGAACCGACTGAATTCTGTTAAAAAAAAACAAAAAAACTTCTATTTTAATATGTAATTCTATACATACCAACACATTTCTTGATTCTATAAATGTTATTTAGTGCTTGCATGTGTTTTAGTAGGCATTCTTGTTTATTTACTGCAAAATTAACGTCTGCCGTCCGAAAGTAATTGTACCTCCCGTCAGGGCTAGAACCTGCATTTTTTTTCTTTTAGCCAGAAAAAAGTGTAAATGGGGAGGTACATTTTCTTTAAAAAGACTTTTGATAATCTACGTCGGTATATATTAATTACATTGTTTGATCTCGAATCAGACCTGTGTACCCACGAAAATAACATTTATGCAGATAAGAAAATTAGAGAAGTGTAAAAACGACGTATTAAAATATTCGTTTTTAAAAAATTCTCTCAGTTCTCTTGGCAAAAAGATGCTGATATTGATAATCGAATTCTTGTGACTTGAGCAGGAATTAATGCAACTTAATGTAATAAAAAAAAAAATATTGCCGGATGAAAAAAAAAAAACATTAATTAGTAGATTACTGCTACTGCCAAGTTTAAAATTTGAATAAGAATTTTCTTCTAAAATATTGATGCTACATTTTATTCTGTTAATGTTAACTTATTAATTTTATTTGAAACTATCTATGTGTCGTGTCCTTTCAGGACTTTGGCGATCATGGCACTATTTCATGTACTTTGTAACTCTTAATAAATTTTGTTGTTTTTTTTCTTATCTCTACTAAACCTTGCTCCAGCACCCATTTACTCAGACTTGCTAGGTAGGTTATGCGTTGTTTCCTTTTGGTCCCTCTTGCCTTTAATATGTCTTGCTAGTATCACATTTTCCTAGCCTTCTTTCCTCATTATGTGCCCTATGAATATCAGCTGTCTATTCCTGCGGCTAATTATAAATGTCCTCTTTATTTCCATTTTCTTAAAAATATCGTCGTTGCTCACATGTTCGATCCATGGTATTCTCAGCTTCCTTCTGTTGTTTCAATTCTCCTCTTAACTAAGGGAATAGTCCAGCATTCACTTCCATATAGGAGGACTGATATTACATAAAAGTTCAATACTAGTTCCTTTGTTTTTAACGATTTTTTTTTTGTTTTTTAATACTTGCTTACTTTTGGAAGGCATCTCTGGCTATCCCAATGCGTCTTCGGATTTAAAACACTTCCAAGATATTTAAATTGTACTTCTTTTTTTATTTATTTATTTTGGTATCTCCAATTTGTAATTTGCATGTTAGACTGTTCCTTTTGCAAACAACCATGAATTGTAATTTATGTTTTGTCTTTTCTTTTCGCTTCCCTTCTCTAACTTCTGTAGGAATACTCGTAGTTATCTTTATGTGACTGCTATCAACATTATGCCATCTCCATATCTTATGTTGTTAAGATTGTGACCACCAGTAATGCAGTACCTCAAATTCTCTCAGCATCGCCTACACGAAATGTCGAACAAGTCCGTTGTGAAGACACATCGTAGTCTTATATCTTTTTTCTATTTTTGTAAATTTACTGAATTTATTTACGTATTCAGACGGTTTGCTTCCAGTATTGGTTCTGGATTATTCTAATATTCTTCTCACATATATCAAGGTAACCTAGCAGTAACAACAGTTCTTTGTGACATACGTTATCAAGCCCTTTTGCATAATCTATAAGACACAGGCATACATCTTGGACAAAGCATCTCGGGATACGCAATGTCTTTGTCTCGTTCTTTTTTATTAAATGGTCGAGCGATCTGAACGGAGTTACAGCGGTGGAGAGGGCGGAGAAGTTTTCTGATATTGTTTTCTTATTTCATTTAGTTTGTACTTGATATTATGTATGTATTATATATTAATTTCTAAATGTATATTTTGGATTATAATCCTCTTTTTCTAGCTTAAATATTCTCTAAGGGAAATTTGGAGCTCTTCGAAATTATTTGTACGTATATTTTCCCATATTTCTCGTACATTTTCCTTTGCACCAAGAAAGTTCAAATACTGGTAAACTAGCAAAAGATTGTCGTGTATGGAGAAGGAAAATAAAGAGATATTTGGAACTGATAATAGAGAAAGAAAAAAGAAAAAATATTTATATGGGAGGAATTTGGTCAAAGCGTCTTGGTATACAGAAAGTTCTAGTCACCATTACTTTATTTTATATATATTCATTGCATATCGATGTTTTCGATGTTAATCTGGTAACAAACAGTAACTAAATTCACGTTTCCGCAATTTATTTACACTGATTCTGACGAATAATTTTCTTCTTTCTAAATTCTTCTGTGAATGTAGCCAAATATCAGCGGGCTTACTTGATAAGACTCACTAATGCACCCGTAGGTAACAACATTCTGACATTAGATTCGATGGCTTCTTTGTGGCTGTTGATTGTTTAAAACAAATTTTGCTGTTTGTTATTGTGGTGAGTTGATTATCTGGCCAGCCCAGGAAAGACCTGCCGCCAAGATATCCTAGATAGTGGACAAGAGAGGAAAATATCAGTAAAAAACACAGTAAACACCGTACACACGTACACAACGGTGTTTATATATCAAAAGTGAGTTGGTATATGAATCCAGTGTTCTTAAGCAACTTCGTATATTGGCCAATAATTGGGTTACTTTTTGCGCAAAAATTATTATTCAAGTTGAATAAATTGTTACTTAATTTTTTTTATTTGTATTTTAGTTATAAAACACAAATATATTTCAATTGGTAGAATTCTCGAATACAGTATGAAATAACGTATTTCGGTAACTCCTTTTGGTATATTTTGCATTTCCTTAATTTTTTTAGTTGTTTAAGCCACACTGGCATTAGTCGTGGAGTTGCGTATCTTTAGGATCTTTCAGCAGAACCACATTTCTGTTGCTTCAAGTCTCTTTTTCATCTTTGAGATTGTCCAGTATTCGTTACCATATAGGAGTGCAGATATCACTTAACTGATCAGTACTCTTTTCTTTGTTTTTAACGAAATATTTCTATGGCTTAATACTCTATAAAAGCTTTTGGAAAGCATCTTTGCTCATCCCAATAAGTCTTCGAATCTCAGTGTCGCACTTTACATACTCTGTTAGAACACTTGTTAGAGATTGTGATCTTTTGATTTTAGTATCCCTGATTTGTAATTCGCATTTTGTGCTCATCATTTTTTTGATGATCATGGATTCTGACTTATTACTTGGTCCTTTCTTGTCGCTTTCCTTTTCCACCTTCTGTAGGAGTTTCTTGTAGTTTCCTTACTGAGAATTGCCTCGCTATGTAGGTTGAACAAATCTGGTGAGAAGTATCTAATCTACATATGAGACTGCAAGGGAGAGTTGGAATTGCTAATCATACCAAATCCCTTGGAATGTAATTGAAAAATAAGACTATTGAATGTAATATTTGCTCGATCACACTATAAAAGGTATGTATTATAAATTACATTCTTAAAAATTATTGTGATACTGTTTTGTCTTTCAATACAAATCACTAATATTCGAACGAATCTTCAGTTACATTACTTTTATTATAGTACATTGTTATAAGTGTTTTATTTTATTAGTAGTTACTTTTATTAATATCTTATTGCACTTTTTATGAACTACAATAAAAACGAATCGTGTATCTGTGGCATGACATTTCCTTTCCAATATCTTGTTATAATTGTCCTATTAGTAATTGTTAATCTCTTGTGCTTAATCTCTAAGAAGAAATTTTCTGTCACATAGCATTTCTTACAGTATCATATTATTATTACATTCGGTTAGTTTCTTAGTTTATTTAATTAACTAGCAATTTCTTAACGCTCTGCTAATACCTCATAAATAATGGACTATTCCATTTTTATCGTGTGGAAAAATGAAAAAGACTTATCGAAGACATTGTTTGCTTTCAGTGAGTAAAAGAAAGATAGCGAAAATTAAGGGAAGATGAAGAAGGCATAAAAAACTCTCTTGTGTGTAAAATCCACTGCAGTAAAATTTAAAAACAAAACAAAAAAAAACTTGTCAATTTCGAATATTTGCATTTTTAACTTTTTAAAAAAAGATAAAGAACTGATTTCATATTTATGACAGTTATTATAATATTTTCTTAATGTTGTTAGGCTCAAATATTTAACGAGTCAACAAGCGAATTTCACCAGATATTTTAAAATAGTAGAATTCATAAGAGGCTTACTCAATCATTAGCTTAAGGATTAAAATTAACCAGAAAATCCAAATAGGAAACCTTAATATTTTCACGGCTATTTCTAGTATGTATTGTTATAGTTGTTCGGTTTTATTATGAATTAATGTTCCGAATTAATTATTGTACCGAATTTATAAATTAAACTTTATCACAGGTTTGTATACATTTATTAGGGATCTTGGAACGTTTCCTCAGCAAATAAAAGGGAGATCACTGTTGTTTATTTGGTTATTAACTCTCATTGTATCTAAATGAGGAATCATCAAACGCATATGTGGTTAATTAAGATATTTCTCGTTTGAATTTTTTCTTCTGTTTTGTACATTATGTGTTATATGTCTTACACTGTTCATATACAAAAAGAAAACGCCAGAATGAACGAAATGTAGAGATTATTATGCAGTAATAGGTTTATGCGAACTAGCATTTTCTAATTAATCGTTTTAATGAATCGTTCTAATTAATATTTTTCTAAAAAAAATATATATCTTCAGGAGCAAGATGAGGAAAAAATGTATGTATTCTTTTGTAAAGGAATTACATATTTAGGCATATTTAAATATGACATAGATTATGGAAGTGCACGTAGCATAGCGCTTATTGGTGCAGAACGCAAGATTCATGTTTCGAGTTCAAATTCCAGCTGAGCCTGTTGCGTAACCGTTGCAAGGGTACGGATCAATTTCTTCTACCCGAAACTAAGAGTTATTTGCAGAAACAACTCTGCTCTCTTATTTTGTTTAACAGTTATTTTAGGAGAAGAACTATTCTGAATTCAAACCAGGTTGGGCGCGAGGCTTGGAACTCTATACCATTACCCAAACTAATTTCCGGAGACCGCAGTACCAAAATTAAGCACAATGAATCTGTGGGTTTATCCTCCACAGGGAAGTTTACAAGGTTAACATAAATACTTCGTAAATTAAAAAAAAATGGGAACTGGTCATTGGAATATCGAGATGCACTGAAAACATTTTTATATTCTTATGACATATATATGAAGGGAGGCATGAGTGTAAATTTGATCTTGAGGCAGATTCAGTGTAGCTAATCAACCTTGTGACCCATGTGCACAGACATTTGAACTTTGCTGCAAAAAACATTTATACATTTTGTTCTTGGCATTCACCCCAAAACTATGAAATCTAAATTATTTATTAAAACTTTTATAAAAGTCACAATCATATATGTATCCGGGGTGATGATGGAGAAAACTCAATAATCTCGAATAAATATAAAACTGTTGAAAGAATAATATGTCTTATGCAAGTTAGGGGTCGTACCGTTACTGACTAGAAAAAGGGGTCGATTCTTGGTGTTATTCTGTCTTTGATGGCTGCATTCAGTTTAGCAGACGACAAGAATGGAAATAATTAAATATAGAAAAAAGTGGACTGATAGTGCAACGATGGTGAAAACAACGAAAAACACACTCACACACACACAGAGAGAGAGAGAGAGAGAGAGAGAGAGAGAGAGAAAAGAGAAAGAGAGAGTGAAAATAAAGCGAAAGAAGGAGAGAAAACAGAGAGAAAGAGAGAGAGAAAAACAGAGAAAGAGAGAGTGAAAACAAAGAGAAAGAATGAGATAGAAAACAGCGAGAAAGAGAAAGAGAGAAAAACAGAGAAAGAGAGAGTGAAAACAAAGAGAAAGAAGGAGGGAGAAAACAGAGGGAAAGAGAGAAATCAGAGAGAAAGAAAGAAATCAGAGAAAGAGAGAAAGAAAGAGAGAAACAGAAAAAGAGAGAGAAAGAGATAGAGAGAGAGAGAAAGAGAGAGAAACATAGAGACAGAAACAAAGAAAGAGTAATAAATACGCGTATTCTGTGAACAAAAAGAGAGGGTAATGAATGATAAAAGTGACGATGGTGAACAATTTGCTAGAGCCCATAATCAATGTTACAATGCTACACCCAGAAGGAGCAAAATAATAATCCAAATATGAGAGTTGGTCAAAATGAAACGCCGTTTTCAATTTTAAGGTAATAACTAAAATTCTGTATCAATTTTTTAAATCATTTAACCCCCAAACATAGCAGAAAAGCCACTCAAAGGCTAGGGGTTAATGAGGGCGAAAGAATGTGGGAAAAAGAAAAAAAAAACATTAAAAAGAAAGAACAATAAAAAAGTAGAAATTATGGAGACAACAGATAACAATTGAAATTGCATTTAAACCTTTTTGAAGATGCCTGTAAAGAAAGAGGCCTTTAGAAATTCCACTAGCGATAAAAGAAGCTGTTAGCATAGAACTTTTGCATCTAGCCAACTGTAAAATCTTAGTTATTTTTTTAAAAAAATATTTTAGTTGTAAACGAAAGAGTTTTAAATAGCTGGGTTATATTTGAGGTGTTACCATTTTTCCTACCGATAATCCTCTTTCGAAATTCCTACCCTTCTGAACACATGCAGAAAGCTCAAAGCTATTATAGAATTTCTATTTTTGGATTCCGAAATTGCTGAACATCACTGGGGGTTATGAATGTTTATGGAATGGTTAAACGATGTAATCACAGTAAAGGGCTATGCTTATCGAATTAGAGGAGCTGCAGGGGCGGGCTTGCCGTTGCTGTTAACGTGCATAAGGCCAAAATACTGGGAAAGACTTCAGGTGTGATACGGTAATACTTGAAGATTAGTGCTATGACATGGCTACTTAAAAGTCTGAAGTTTCTCAGAATGGTGAAAAACTCCAGGCAAGTACAGAAGTTGATTGCTACCCAAGTATTTCCGAAGCTTCAGAACAATAATAAAAGCCGGATAGTCAGAAGAGATGAGACCCAACACTCTCAAGTGTTTAATTTGTTTGGGTCCGTTTCCTGGATTACTCGGAAAGCAGCAGTTGTCCATTGATTAAGAAATGAAGAAGCAACTGGAAATGACTAAGGATATAACTACAAATAGGTTACGCATGTTCACAGTCAAAGATACAATGGAGAAGGAAATAATTTATGCAAAGGACCACATTTGCAATCTTAAGACAATTATTTTAATTTCAACAGGATTTGTTTGCTTCTATCTGTTATAATTAAAATAAAACACTAACTAATTGCTTAACGATCCTCCTATATACAATCCTGCGTACGCCTTCGTATTTATATTTATATTATTTACATTATTCGGACTATTGTCCTCATCTTTTTCGCCATATCTATCACAAGGTTTCGGCCGTTGTACGCTCCGGCCTTCTTCAGGTGGTTGGAATTTCGAACGGAACCCTTTATTTCGCTCACTGGGGTAGACTGTTCTAGTTTCACGTGCCATGTTTGATGGATGTCAGTTAACAGTTATCTCCTGTTAATTAATTTCCCTCTGAAAGTTCTCCACTGCCTTAACCGGGTATTGAACTCACACTCTTTGGGTCTGTCACTGGATCTAACCAACGCCTTCATCCACTGTGCCATGTGTCCTTGAGGGTTCGGTTCGACATTCCAACCACCTGACGAAGGCCGAAACGTTGTGATAGATATGGCGAAAAAGATGAGGACAATAGTCCGAATAATGTAAATAATGTACATAATACCTCATCTCAGAAATATAGACAGTGTTTGTATATTTGTGTATCAGTGTCTGTGTAACATTCATACAGATAGTACACTTTTATTCCAAACAGAAATCTAACCGACTTTGATCCGAGGCACATTTTACTTATGTATACATAACTACATTAGTCATTTTACGGATATAATAATAATAATAATAATAATAATATTAATAATAATAATAATAATAACAACGACGACAACAACGACAATAATAATAATAATAATGAGGGATAAACTCGTTGGCAGTATCAACAGTGAGGTAATTTGGATCCAACCTAGGATGGGCAAGATAGGATCAGAATCCTATCACTCAAGGGACCATGAAATTATCAATTCATCGGTTTCTCTAAACAAGGACAATTCAGCTTTGAGGACTTTGGTAAGACCGTTGAAATAAGATTTGTAAAATTCGCCCAATAGAGCGATGGAAATATTGGGAATTAATTGAAAGATTGTTAGAAGTGATAAAAGGAGGACACAGGCGTGAATATTGAGAAAGGGAAACAAGGAAAGAAAGCTTTCCATGGAGAATTTGAAAGAAAAACAAGATGAAAGGCTGTATCTCCGATATGTATCCATCTAGAAGATACAAAACAAGAGAGATATGAAGCTAAGCACAAATATATCAAGTCAATTCAAACAAGAAAAGCCGCATCTATAGAGGGAAAATGACATTGTAAGGTATATAACTCGATGTAGCAAGTGCGCATGCGCGCTCAAAAGAAGTTACTAAAAAGAATACGCTATATAGTTATAGGCATCCAGTGAGGAGGCACGAGAAATTACTTTTATTGAAACATATAAAACAAATAGTATCAATATATTGCGAAATCTAGAACCTAAAATATAAAAAGTAAAATTTACTTTACAGATTCACACCCTCGAAATGAGCAAACATAACTGTTATTCATAAGCGAAAATGTCGCATCAGTTCCTTTCGTGATGAATAAATATAGCAAGCTGGTTAAATCACGTGACCATTCTCGTTATGATGCGAAACATACGATTTTGTTCCCATTATAATTGGTGACAAAATAATATATACGAGAGGGAAAAGTCAATGTCTCAAGCAAGTGCTGGTAGAAATTCTTGATGACTTTAAGAGTTTTAATGTTATACAGTCGCTAGCGAGAACCATTACACATCTGGTATAATATGAAGATACATCATCATCATCATCATCATCATCATCACCATCGACCACAGAAGCAACATCATCAACCACTACAGTAGAAACAAAAAGAACAACATCAACCACCACCACAACAACAAAAACTACCACAACATTTTTAATAAATGTTCTGATACCACACCAGGCAGGATTCTTATGACTTCTGATTTTAATTCATTGGTGTTAATATATACATCTTTGTCTTAATTAAGGTAATACAGAGTAATGATCACATTCAGATTTGTTTGCCTGTTATTTGACCGTAACCAGTTAAGCACGCCCCCTAGTGGCTGATTCAATGTAAATTATTTAAAACACCTAATCTCGAAAACATCTGACAATCCTGGAGTATCAAAAGACGCATTGTCCGAAATCATCATTTACACGCCGTGTCCCTTCTTGACATGGGTGATTATAGCCCTGCACAGCGTCCTCTCCCTTGCAACGGTTGACTCTTTATAATGCCTTCTTGTCCATGATGTACCATCCATTCGCATAAACCCATTAAGGAAATGACACGCTGTACCCCTCTTCCCTTGATACAATCAGAGGACAATCGATGTTTCAAGCCGGTCTTCCTCATAATGCATCACAGAAATCGCAGCTATTTCTTTATCATTATATGATTGTCGATTCTGGTCTTATTTTTTTTTAGAACAAGTTGATAAGCTGTAAAAAACAAAACAAACAAAAAATCTTTAGATCGTTAAAGTTGTTCACGCCATGGTATTGTCAGTGTTTTTACTGTATTAAATAAAAGAATCATCTGAAAAAAATGTCTGCAATAATAAACGCTACCAAAAGACGATAAAACGAAGAGAAAAATTTGATTTATGAAGATCTTAAAATCTGATAAACAAGCGTCAAATATTATACGTAAGGAAAATTAAGGAAAAGAATAAAAGAATATAAATTTAAAAAAAGAAATAAAAAAAGCAGAAGAATCCCGATTCTTATCCGATAAAAATGATGAAAAATATTTTGGAGCTTTGTTCTTCATATTCTCTGTTACATGATGAATATTCTTTCTCAGTACGGATTCTATTACAACAATAGTAAGTCCTAATTTATTCACAGTTATATACAAAAATCATGTTTTTCTCTTAAATGTATGTAATTTTAAAAAAAAATAAACAGGAAATTAAAGTTTCTTTTGCCACCAATATTCTCTGATGATTGCGGAAATTTGGTGTCAGAGAAATGAGAACAGTGTTGTCTATGATTTAACGCCGTATCATTTTGTAAAGGTCGAAAAACATAATTCGTTGTAGTGTCTTTACATGTTTATGAAAGTAAAACAGAAGAAAAAACGTGATATCAGCAAATTATAGATCTCGATCTATAAAAGGCAGGATGTGTGTGTGTGTGTGTGTGTGTGTGTGTGTGTGCGTAACGAATGCACGGCCGCAATTTTCAACGGATTTGCACCAAAATTTACATGCACATACTCCAAGTTAGCGGAAAGGCCAAGACCGACTTTGCATTTCCCAACTCTCATCGATAGTGGAAATAATAGATTTTCTACTGGCCAGAGTGAGAGCCTATAGCTGGCTGCTACGAATAGACAGCAAGATTCTATTGGCCAGCGTGAGAGTCAACAGCTGACTGACACGAATGTTAACTAGCATGCAAAAAAAATCGATAGCTGCATTTGTCACAAGTGGGAAAAATTTAAATCTGCATGACACTTTACTCCAATTGGCTCATTCACTTGCTTAAACTCAACGTTGATTCTGATTCTGCAGAACTGTGTTGGGTGTGAAAAAGTATCTGTCGTTAACATTCTTTTTTCATTCGGTTTTTCCATTTACGTGTCCTTTTTTAAAGCTGATCGTTTTGTGTTCATTTTGTTTAGTTCTTTTTTCTTGACAGATTTAATGTTTAGTATAGAGCTTTGAAAAAATTCGCAGTGTGAGATAGGCAAGAAGTAAGACATGTAGCAACATCAGCACGGCAAAGGGCACTCCTTCAAAGCCAAGGAAGGGCAAAAATATTTTAAGTCAAGTGATAGCAATTGCTGTATGAGTCGTCCGATTTTTGAATCAAGCACGGGCAACGCCGGGCCATGCTGCTAGTTAAACATATTTCGTTTGATAAATGGAATTTTGTTTCAACACTGATTGGGTTTACAGTTTTTACAGTGGTCAGCATGAGAGAAGGGGCATTG